GTCAAAGCCACAGATCCTGGACTTTTCAATATTAATCTGCACAGTGGAGAGATCAGGACACAGCGGGACATTTCAGAATCTGACAGCATGAAACAGAACCTGATTGTTGCAGTGAAAGATAATGGACAGCCCTCTCTGTCTGCCACCTGTTCCATGTATTTACTTATTTCTGATAACTTGGCTGAAGTGCCAGAACTGAAAGACATTTCTTATGATGAGAAGAACTCGAAGCTGACCTCTTATCTGATCATCGCGCTGGTTTCTGTGTCCACTTTCTTTCTGACCTTCATCATCATCATCCTCGGTGTGAGGTTTTGTCGGAGGAGAAAGCCCAGACTGTTGTTTGATGGAGCAGTAGCCATCCCCGGTGCTTATTTCCCTCCCAATTACGCAGATGTGGATGGCACAGGAACTTTACGCAGCACCTACAATTACGATGCCTACCTGACAACAGGCTCTAGAACCAGTGACTTTAAGTTTATATCATCCTACAATGACAGCACGCTGCCTGCTGACCAGACTCCCGAGAAAATCCCGGCAGAATTCGCCGATCCCTTCGAAGGACTGGTGACACCTGAAGAGGTAGGAAACCAACATATTTTTGGTTGGGGGATTATTTTACAGTGTTTCCTTTTCAGATAATTTTTCCTACTTCTGATATTTCTAATTAATTTTACGCCAATAAAGTTGACTTTATACCAAATGTGCTCCGATTCCTGGTGCCGTAGTTAACATAGACTATCACAACAAAGCTTGTTTACTTTTTAACGTAATTCAGTCAACTTCTAGTAATTAACCCTTTTTTCTTTTTTTTTCTTTTTTTTTTACGAATAATCGTAGACATTGTTGCTAAATTGCTTAGGAGCTTATCATATTTTTCAGTTTTATTAATATCCTTGGGATCCTTTGTTTAACAATGTTTCCTCTACTAAATCGATATTTGAATACCAGTCAACATGTGAGTGGTAGTTGAATTTCAAGAAGTTTGTTTTGTCATATTATGAGATTTATTCAACAAATTGTTCTGATTTGAATTAAGGTGTCTCATAATGGTTGATATGTTTCTTTAGTATTGTCTTTTCTCAAAGTATCTGTCCTTGGTGCTGACGCAATGCTCTGCGTTTTCCGCTTAACAGATATTAACGTCGTTTTCAGGCGCTTTAATCATTTATGTTATAAAAACAGTTTAATCTACCATTGGTTGTTTATTGTCTTAACGTGGCAAATAATATATTGAGATAAATTGATTCCAATTATAAAGTGTCTCTTGCGTAACGCATTTCCTATCCAAAAATTTACGCAACTCAAATTTCATCATTGAAGCTTTTAATTGAGTCAAATGTATGACAACTCAAAGCACTATTGACAAATTCTGCTTTTTAATTTGCTTCTTCCCGTTGTTACGAACATTCGTTAACGTCTTGCTTTTTGTAATTCTTCCATTGTGAAATGTGTTTAAAATGTTTAATGTGGATCATATCAATAAATGCTGAAATATTTTGATTCGGAGAACTTGGTATACAATGTTCTAACATTCAAAAACAACTCACGGTGTCGCTGTTGGCTCACCCAATAACTATCATCCTTACCACTCTACTCATTAACGCACAGAGAGCAGCTACAACCTTGTCGCAGTAGCTGCTCAACAATTGAACATTTAAAATACTGGACTATGTTCATGGATTCTTATGCAACATCTTGTTAATATTGTTTTATCACACTGTTGAATTGTTTCCGCTTTATTCTGGGGACCATTTGCACGGAAGATGGGAGACAGAGGATTTTCTGTGCTGTTTACAGTCGTCTTTTTTGCTGCCATTTTTATGATACTTCCTCTCGTCCAAGGAGATCTGAGCTATTCTTTTCCAGAAGAGATGAAACGAGGATCCGTTATTGGGAATGTTGCCAAGGACCTAGGAGTTGATCTGAATACATTTTCTTCCCGGAAGGCCCGTGTGGATTTCGAAGGGGCTCCTAAGCATTACTTTGACATTAGAATGAGCACTGGGGATTTAATCACATCGGACAGAATTGACAGAGAAAGCATTTGTGAGAAGCAGCCCTCGTGTATCATGAAAATCGACCTGGTATTAGAAAATCCTTTAGAGCTTCATCGTATCAGTCTTCGTGTACAAGATGTGAATGATAATTCGCCCAAATTTAGACAAAATCTGATTGAAATGGAAATAAGAGAGTCTGCAGACAAAGGCAACCGCTTTTCTATCGAGGAAGCCCACGACGCAGATATAGGTCAAAATGATGTACAGAGATACATCTTACAGAACAATGATAATTTTGCTCTCGCTGTGGATAGCAATAAGGTTGAATTAGTCCTTGAGAAAAATCTTGATCGCGAGAAACAAAGGGACGTTAGTTTGCTTCTAACAGCTATAGATGGCGGATCTCCTCAGAAATCAGGTACTGTAGTCATACATGTTACAGTGCTGGATGCTAATGATAACGCCCCAGTGTTTACACAGGCTGTTTATAAAACAACTGTGCTTGAAAACTCTCCAACAGAAACACTGGTTATTACTGTTAGTGCTTCTGATGCCGATGAAGGAGTGAACGGAGATGTAACATATCAATTTGGACACGTATCTGATCATGATATTAGTTTATTTTTTATTGACCCAAAGACTGGGCAAATTAAAGTAACTGGTGAGATAGACTTTGAAGATAAAAGTTCTTTTGAAATCAGGGTACAGGCAAAAGATGGATTAGGACTGACCTCATATGCTAAAGTAGTGATAGAAGTTAAAGACGTAAATGATAATGCACCTGCTATTTATGTCAAATCCCTTTCGAATTCCACACCGGAAAACGTGTCACCTGGTACAGAGGTGGGCATCATAAATGTTCAGGACAGAGACTCAGAAAATAATGGGTTGGTCCGCTGCTCCATCCAGCAAAACGTCCCTTTTAATTTAGTTCCTTCAATTAAAAACTATTATTCTGTGGTAACCACAAGACAATTGGACCGTGAACTAGTATCTGATTACAACATAACAATTATAGCCACCGATGAGGGCTCTCCACCTCTGTCTTCCTTTAAAACTATTCAGTTGTCTGTAGCTGACATCAATGACAACCCACCTATGTTTGAGGAACAGTCCTACAGCGCATATGTGAGTGAAAATAACAAACCTGGCTCAACTTTATGCTCCGTCACTGCTCGAGATCCTGACTGGAGACAAAACGGTACAGTGATTTATTCTCTGTTACCTGGTGAGGTGAACGGTGCCTCGGTGTCCTCCTATCTATCTGTTAAT